CGGCATGTGGGATCTTCCCGGACCGGGGCACGAACCCGTGTTCCCTGAATCGGCAGGCGGACTCTCAACCACTGCGCCACCAGGGAAGCCCCGGAAGCAACTTTTATGAAACAAACTTAAGCAATGGAAAGAAAACTCAGTTATTTAAATATGAGCTGGAGTCCATATTCATTCAAACAAATAAGAGAATCATAGACTTAAATTTCTGGATGGCCTCAGGTTTTCCTCGACCTTCAGACGTCATGCAGGTGAACCTCTAAAGCAGTGTTTCCTGCCATGCGCCAGGCTTTCAAAGGCCCCTGATGCTGCCATTTTTATTCGGACCCTTCCTGCCTTTCTCCCTGACCCCATCCCGCAGCCTTCACTCCCTCTGCAAACACACATCCCATTCAGCAATACCAGAAAGAAGGTGCTGATGAGCCAACGGCATTGCTTTTAGTTGTTTTAGTGGTGATCGGAGATGTAAAGGCTGTAAAAACAAGGCAGGATTAGTATGAGAAGGGGTCTTGCAGAGATAGTTTCCAGGGGGTTGGACAAAAAAAAAAAACACTTTAATTTTTTTTGGAAAAGATGATGAACTTGAAGAAGGACTCTGGGATCCTCCAACTCTAGCCCCAAAATGGAACTCCCTAAGTAGAATGGCTTCTGAAGCCAGGCGCTTTGTCCTTCTTGTCATTGCTTTGTCTACAGGATCTAGTGCAGTGCAGGCACATACATTTTTGTTGGGTAAATAAATAGAATTATTAAAGGAAAATGGCTCAATAACAATCCTGTACATGTACTCTGGAATATTATGCAGCATTTAAAAAAATGTTAAATCTCTATATACTGAAAGGCAAAAACTCTAAGACATATGGTTGAGTCATTTAAAAAAGTAAACAAAATAATGTATTTCATAAGTATAGGAAAAAATCTAGAGGTACATGCAATAAATATTACAGATGTTATCTCTGGGAAAGAGAATACTAAGGGAAACTGTTTTATCCATATTATTTGAATATCTTCAACAAGAGCATATTTATGTATTACTTGCATAGATAAACAATAAAGCAAATGTACCAATTAACCAACTGATATGTTTTCTGAATTTTATTCATTTTTTATGTCTTGGGCACTTGTGGTAAATTTTCATATTTTTGTTTATCTTTTAAATGTCCTGTTTACATTTCACTTTTTTAATTTAAAAACTGTAAATTACTGCTTAGTAATTCCTATTTTTCCTATTGATAATACAATTTTTTATTGTAACAACAAGTTTATTTTTTAAGTTATGATCTCACATAATAAACATGTAAACAAACACACACTTATTAACAATTAACAAAAATTAAGCCATACTACTTTTCAACTGACATATTTTTTTACCATACATTAGATATTTCCATATGACTATTACACAACTACATCAGTATTCATAGTGATTTCATTCTATTCCTTTGTATGGATATATATCATAATCTTATAACCTCCTTCTTTTTGGATATTTATGCTATATTCCAATTTTTTTACTATTATAAACAACAATTCCAAGAAGTATAAAGTTGAGTTTGATTGGTTTGCATTTGTAATAAAGCTTTAGTAGTGCCAGTTACTATCCAGAAAGGTTGCACTATTTTAAACTTGTAGTGTGCAGGAATTCATTTCTCCCTACCAATACAAAAATTGACTTTAGTGTTTAAAAAAATCTTCATTATATGATAAGAGGAAAAATAAAATCATATTGTTTAAATGTACAAGTCTTTAATTATTAGTGAAAATGTTAATATTTGTCTTTAATTCTTTAGTGATGTATCTGTTCATGCCCTTTGTCTTTGCTTACTGGGATATTCACTTTTCTTATTGACTTATAAGCTCTCTTTATATATTAAGGCTATTTGGTCTTTACAACATGTGTTGAAATCTTTTTTACCAGGTCATTTAATTTTAAATATTGTTTCTAAAACTTTTTATCATGACCCTTTAAGTTCTTACTTATTAAAATTTAGTAATATTTTCTCTTACCACTTTTTCCTCAGGGTCATGTTTAAACAATCACCCAAAATATACATGTAAGAAAATATAAATCCTTAAAGCACTAGTATAGTTTCATTTTTTTACCATTAAAATATTTAAAATATAAGTAAAAAAGAAAACATGTGCCGAGGTGCACAAAACATAAAAACATTAAATTTAAAACTTTAATTCACATTTTATTTATTGATTTATTTATATGCAAACAGGTAGGACATGAAATTTATTTTTTCCCAAATGGTTAGTTAGCTAATTATCCCAATACCAATAAATAAATATCAACTATTTATCCACTGTTATATAATACCACCTTCATTATATAATAAAATTGGAAATAAACATGGGTTTGTTTCTGAATTTTTATTCATTCATTCATTTATTCATTCAACCAACCTTAACTAAGTGAATACTATGCTCTGGGAACTGTTTAGCACTGAATGAGAGGGACATGGTCCCTGCTTTTTGCAGCTTTTGATGAAGTAGTAGGCACAGACACCGACCCAACTGTGATCAGCACAAAGCAGAGCAGCAGAGTGACAGCACGGAAAGAAGGAGGACAGGAGAGCTATTGTAGCAAAAGCGATCAGTGGAGGCATCTGGAAGGACTTGATAATTGAGCCAACACCTGAAAGAAGCAAAAGGAACATGAATACCACAAAGGAGCCCCAAATGGGGCTTTTCTGGTGGCAGAGTGGTTGAGAATCTGCCTGCTAATGCAGGGGACACGGGTTCGAGCCTTGGTCTGGGAGGATCCCACATGCCGCGGAGCAACTAGGCCCGTGAGCCACGACTACTGAGCCTGCACGTCTGGAGCCTGTGCTCCGCAACAAGAGAGGCCACGATAGTGAGAGGCCCACGCACCGCGATGAAGAGTGGCCCCCGCTTGCCACAACTAGAGAAAGCCCTCGCACAGAAATGAAGACCTAACACAGCAAAAATAAATAAATATCCTTCTTTAAAAAAAAAAAAAAAAAGGAGCCCCAAATGTAGTAAGGAAATAAACTTGTGAAAGTTTAGGGGTAGAGAAACAGCAAGTGCAAAGACCCCGGGACAGGAACAGATTTACTGTTTGTGGGGGAAGAGCAAAAAGGCCAAAGCAGCTGGACCAAAATAAACGAGCAGAAGTTCAGAGATTTAGACGGGGCTCTTTGCAGGCCATGGATGAAGATTCTTTACTTAGGGAGTGTGGTCTGATTTACATCACTTAAATGAGCACCTTTGTAGCTGTGTGGAAAACTGACCAAGTCAGCCTGTGACAGGACTAGGAGTCCAGGTAAGAAGCACCTAGAGCCACATCCAAGAGAGACTAGGGTGGGAGGTACCAAGACAGCGAGAAGGGATCAGATTCAAGCTATGACACTAAGTTAGAGCTCACAGGACTTGGTGATTTGCTGGACGTAAGGGAAAGGAAGGAATTTGGGGACGGCCCGAACAACTGAGATGGGAAAAACTGGAAGTGCAGAAATTTCCATAAGGAACATCGAGTGTTTTATTTTGAAAATGTTCAGGTTCAAATTCTTATGACCTATCCAAGTGGTGATATTAAGTGGGTGGCTGGATATACAAGTCTGGACCTCAGGGGGAAAGTTCAGGCTGGAAATACAAGTTTGGGAGAGTCAGTGGTATCCAGGCGGTGTGCAGAGCCTGCAGATCTCCTGGGGAGAGAGCGTGAGGGCAGATAATCAGAGGACCCAGGGGAAGAGAAGGAGAATGCGGAGGA